AGGATCAATTTATAGACCTCAGCTTTCACATAATTAGGCGCATAATCAAAGCAAATGTAGCACTAAACTTCCAAGGGCATTAGTTATACAATCGCATCAATCTTTTAAAGCTACGTTTCTGTACAGTTTAGCCAACCCATAAATTAGCACCGTCCAACTAAGGGGCTGTTCGGCAGCCCCATTTTTGAGTTAAAAACTCAAAAAAATAACTTGAGTTATAATTTTATTCAAGTTCATGTTCTTTTAAGTTTGAACTCGAGTTTGGGACTAAAACTCGAGTTCAAGTTTTCCCTTCAACTCGAGTTTAGAAACTCGAACTCAAATTAATGAACAGTATTTTTTCTATTCTTAAAAATGCTATAACTTTTTCATTTTAATTCTAATTGAGATGATTTTTTTTCCTGTGTTGACAACAAAAAAATGAATAAAACCTCACCCATATACCTTATTAAAATTTTCCATCAGCATTGAGTTTTTATTAAAATACTATATAAATACAAATTCAAGTTTTGACTCACTCAAACACAAACTCAAAAAGATTCTTATCTCAAACCATAACTCAAATGTACACAACCAAACACAGACTCAATTACAACTTCAACTCAAGTTATAACTCAAACTCAACTCAAAATTTACACTCAAGTCACCTAACTCAAAAAGGACAAAAGAATATCCCCTAAACTTCTTCACGTCATCCCATTTGAGAACTCTATCGTACAATCAGATATATAGTAGGCTTTGTTAATATTGTATATTTTTCCATTTTAATGTGATTTTGACAAATAATAAGATCCAATATTCAGAAATATGCACATAAACAACTCTCATGATATTATTCTTTTTTTTAATTGATTCGATACGAGACATATCGAATATGCAATTTTCTTGATATCCCACCTCACCCAAACTCTGGTCTCATTAGACTAAGCGATCTTGAGCCCTTATTTAGTACATCCTCTCTAAAATACAAACAAACCAACCGGGCCCTAGGATTGAAAATTATAAGCAAAGGATTAAATTGTGTGTTAGAACTATACATGCATAGTTAGAAGTACATTATTTGGTGGTATTATAGAAAACAAGGACCTCAAATATTTGTGTCGGTTTTACTAGAATAACACCCTAAATATTTTTCCAAGTCCTGTCCGTACGTACTGTTAAGTACACATTAGTGAGAATAGTTAGGTAAATGAAGGGTGCGTTTGGTTGGTGTATTCGTGTCATGATTTGACTCATAGTTCGTAATTTACTACAGTATTTTCTCTCATAAAAAATACACATAAATCGAGAATTGTTCTGAATCCATAAATTAAACGTTCACTAGTATGCTTACAATACATTTTCTTATGCTAAAATGGACATAAAGATTAAAGACTTCTAGAAAAAGCGCCATACCGAAGGATGGTTTTGTTTCATTTGATTTTTCAAAAGGGTATAACAACATTCTTTAGGGTAAACATATAAATGCATGGTTGGTTCAAAAGAATTCTTTTCTTTTCTCTCTTCTCTTTTCCTCTTTTCCGTGTTAATTTCCCTTTTTCATACTACTTTATCTAGAAAAGAACATGTAACAAACATTGCATCTTTCGAAGTCATATATTCGTGTGATCTATTGTCCTTCTAAATTATAATTCTTTCTTACTATTGCTAAAAGCTTGTAAGATTGCATTACCTTGTCCCCAAGGGACAACCTAGGGATAAAAACATCATGACTTTTCTCCCTAACGCCCGTCTCTAGTACAATTCTTGATGTGGATGGCAATCCTTTTTGGAAACTTTAACTAACAAAAGAGATTTAAAAAAACAAGGTAAAGGCAATTAAATGATTTAATAATTAGTCCAAATATTTATAGAGCCTTGCACCACAAAGTATAATACAGATTTTCTATCCCCTCTTTATCTCGTTTACACAAATTTAGGTACAACAATTACATTGTTTCTCTCAAGGCATGGGTGTGGATTAAGTTGACCGACGACTTTACCAAAAAAAATACCTAAATGTATACTCTTCTTAACTGTAAACTTTTATATCCTTCGTCCTAGAGCCTTTTATTAGTATTATACATTCTTAACTGTTGAATATAGTCAAAATCACATTAACAAAATACAAGATAAACAGTTTTTGATACAGATTCAACTTTATTTTTATAAGACCTATCTTAAAAATCTTCAAATTTTTTTTATCATATTAGATTGTTACTTTCATTTACTTAATATCTAAGCTAAACGACAATCATCTCAGTGGAATTTAACATTTGAATGCCTCTGTGATGGGTCAGCCTTATTATTCAACTGATTGGATTTTTTTTCTTTATTTAGATAAGTCAATCTTTCTTACTCTTTTTCCAATATTGATAATGATTTATGTTTTTTGTTTCTTTATTTATAATTCTCAATTTTTCATATTCATCTTGATGTCTGTAACAACTTTGTAATCTTTGATTTTAATTATGTCTTTTTTCTTCTTCCAGACAATTAAATAAGTTTTTTGTGTTGTTTTTTAATATCACATGATTTATTCTTACTCGTTCTTTGGATAGAAAAATACATTAATGATTGAAAAAAAATTTTTCACCATAAATTGTATCTATTATTAGATACTTTCAGTCTAAAAAAAAGATTGTTACCTTCCTTGGACAGTATTACTTTTATACCCTCCTCTTGTTCTTGCAATTAACTTGTAGTGTAGTGACTTTTGACCCTTTAGCATTTGAGATATTACATCAATCATCCTCATCTATCTTCTTAAATTAATTATGTTCTTTTATTCTACTAGTGTTGTTGGACTTTTCATTCACGGACTAACCATTCTACAGCCTCCTTACAACTCATACCAGTCTTTTGAAATTGAACCTTTGATTAGGACCTTCGGCAATATCAATGAAATGCCCACTGTTTTTTAGCTACATTTTGTCCATTATGCTTAACATTGACTATTGACTAATTTCACTTTCTATGTGATGGGTTAGGTATAAATTAATAACCATAAAAAATAAACGCGGGATTTGTTAAGAAAAGAATTGAGTAAAAGAGATAAATATCAAAGTGTATGAGTCTAGATTTTTACTATTTATTTTTTATTAATATTTTTTTTAGTCAAAGTTATATTATCATAAGGGTATTAATCAAGAGTAAGCGAAAAAAATTCAGGACTATGCACTTAAGTTCAACAATTTTTCAAAAGGGAAATTATGTGTGAGATTTTTCTATTTTGGATAAGGAAAGCAATCAAATGAAAGATGGTAATCTTGACAAATACTCCTTAAAAGTATATGATCAGGATTTTTATTTTTTATTCTTGATTTATAAATTTTTTAGTTAAATAATTATACTAATAAAAAAATATTGATCAAGAATACAGAGTAAAAGTCAAGTAAATTCTTCTTCCACGGAAGAGGAAGGAGGAAAAGGAAAGAATAGGCTTGCACTAATTAATTGGAGTGGTCTTTGAGCATACAAATCAAGGTCCAATAACATACTTCTGGGTTGGGCTAAATTGCAGGTCCAATATAAGAACCGAGCTCATCTAATCCAAGTCCAACAATTTTCTTGTTTCTAAAGCTCAAAAGAAAGTAGACAATTTAGCTGGTTTTTTTTTATTATTATTTTTCTTTTTTGCCAACCTTGACATGTATTGTTAAATTTGATAGACAGAAAAAAACAAAAAAAACTTTGCTTTCATTAAGTACCGAGCTTTAGCTTGAATTGATCATGAAAACTAAAAAGAAAGAAATCAAAATAATGAATTTCACATGAGAATACTTGATTTGGTTGAGAATTCAGGTTGTTACCGAACATTGTAATATATCGTTCATTTGGTGTTTTCATGAAAATTCAAAAATAATAATAAGAATAAGAATAATGAGTGTTTGTGAATTGTGTTTCACCGTAAACTAGCCCAAAATTTTCAGATTAAATTAATATGTTTTAAAAGTTCCCTAACTCAACCCAACCGAAATATCGAAATTTGTGAATTGGTTTTCACAGGTTCTGTGGATTAGATGTAGGATTTCGATAGATGGATTCGTTCCCTGATTCAAATTATAGTTCGTGGTTCGTTACAATATTTTCTCTCACAAAAAATACACGTAAATTGAAAATAGTTTTAATCACATGGTTCCAATCCATGAACCAAACGCACCCTAAATTTAAAACTTTTAAAGGCCAATTTTTGCACTATTATGTAATCCATTGTAAAATAGAAATTAAAATAAACATGACATAATATTTCAACAAAGCCTAGTTTTTCTTTTACAACAAATCAAGTTCGAGTTTTTTACCATAAACAGAATTGTAGCATTATAATCAATCAAAAGTCGACTCTTCAGAATAAAAATTTTATTATATAGTTCGGATTATCGGTCCCATATATTATAAAACCAATCTTTTTTTTTTTTGAGAGGTAATTTAAAACCAATCTTTGATTTCAAGTAGTAGTGAGTTTTGGCTTTGGATTTTCACATGAGAAACACAGTTAAGGGCCGACAAGAAATAGTGACTTTGAAAAAATAAACAAATAATATTCCGACAGGAAAGAGAGGTAACTGGTCCAGAAAAAAGCATGAAACTCATTCTGTAAAAAAAAAAAATGATGAAATGAAACTCGCCAAGGGTGCAAACACTAAAAAACCATAATCATATGGGTCAAAAGACAAAATTAAGAAAGACCTTGGACCACACAAATTAGTAATTATCAGAACTCCAAGGGCTTCTTACAAAACTTCCCGTTGTAATCGTACAAAGCCGTTCTAATTGGGCTTAAATAACATTGCCATATGGGTCAAAAGCAAAACTTAAGATACCTTTCGGGCACAAATTACTAATACTTAAAACTCAAAGGGCTTCCCAACAAAAGTTCCCGTTTTAATTGTACAAACTACAAAGCCGATTTCGAATTATCGGACCGTTAGGGCCCGTTTGCGAGGACAAACAAGGTAACCGTTAAGATTCAAAAAAAGCAAAAAAAAAAAAAAAAAAATAATCCCAACAACAACGTTTTGTTTTTCTTTTTTTCCTTTTAATCTTCATCAAATCATAACTCCCAATAACAGAAAGACACAAAGTAGAAGAAGGAGAAGAAATGGGCTGCGTTTCGTCGAAGCTCTTTAGAAAAGAGCTTGAGAGGGAAATCATCACAAAACACAACAATGGCGGCGGCGGCGGAGATTTCGCGAACCACGTTGTCTCTCTCACTTCCAGCACTTACGGAGTTCTCAAACTCGACAACGAACGACAGCAACAAAAGCCCGTCGAAGAGCGTGTCGTGGCAGAGACCGCGAAGAAATCGCAGTATTCACCTCCGAGGGAGAACCCGGAAGTGATCAACGCTTGGGAGCTAATGGAGGGACTTGAAGAAAAAGAAGAAGAAGAAGAAGAAGAAGAAGAAAGAAAATCCATTTCCAATCAGGTCAAGAAGAGCCCGAAAACGAGGGCACTCCTCAAAGGCTTCGGCGACATCGACGCGAAGAGTCCATTGAAGTTCTTGAACCAGATCGGGTCTCCGAGAAAGGCGAAAAGCGGCGGAGGGGAAGAGAACAGAGTGAGTAATCAGAGTTATGGTATTAGTGGAGGCAGAGGTAAATGGGATTATAGCCCCAGACAGGTTTTGAGAGTGAGGAATTCGAGTGAGAATCGTTGTAAAGCGGTTTTGAGTTTGAGTTTTCCGGCTAAAGGGTCTCCGATTAGTGCGAAAAGGGAGAGTTTCGGAAAAAGCCCTCTGTTTGATCCGGAGCTTGTGGCTTCCTATGAGAAGGAATTGTCCGCTGAGGGAGGGGAGATCAAGAGAATGGTTTCCTTTTCACCTAATGTCAAGAAATCGAGGGATTTTTCGGTCGATTCGGAGGCGATTCTGCTGTCTTTCGAGAAGAAATGCCCGCCGGGGGGCGAGAATTCGGTCGTGATCTACACGGCGACGCTGCGGGGGATTAGGAAAACGTTTGAGGACTGCAACAAGGTCAGATCAATCTTCCAATCGCACCTAATCCACGTGATCGAGCGCGATGTGTCGATGGATTCGGGGTTTCGAGAGGAGTTGAGGCGGCTAATGGGGACTAAAGAAGTGAAAGTTCCACTTGTTTTTGTGAAGGGGAGATTGGTGGGAGGAGCTGATGAGGTGGTGAAGTTGGAGGAGGAAGGGAAGTTGGGAGCCCTTTTCGTCGGGATCCCGAGGGCTTTCGGGTGTTGCGAAGGTTGCGCCGGGTTCAGATTTGTCATGTGTGGGAAATGCAATGGGAGCTGTAAGGTCTTGGATGAGCAGCAAAAGAAGATGGTGAGATGTGGTGGGTGCAATGAGAATGGTTTAGTCCATTGCCCTATTTGTTAGTCTAAAAAATTTTAAAGCTTTGAACTTATTATCAAGTCATTTTGTTAAGAACAAGGAAATGGGGTTTCTAAAGTGGGTTTTAGGCCTCAATTATTATTGCTTGATTGATATATATATGTTGCACGCTTGTCGCTTGGTATGTGATTTCATAGCCAGCAATTTGATATGTAATGTTTTGATCATGTATGTATTTTGATTTTGGAATATTTATATGAACATGGTACTTTGGTATTTCATTCTCTAGAACAATTTGACAACATTTTTTTCTTAGAACAAATGGATGTCCTAACCATGTTGATGGTCAACATCACTCTAATAGTGATGCTTCCATAGAACTATTATGCAGTTGACGTTAGATGGCGCCAAATCAATATGGTAAGTTGTTTTCATTGAAATATTAGAAAAGTCAGATAACATCGGCCACCATTCCGACGTTGACCCGGAATGATAGTCACTCCTTGGAAGATTTCTAGTCTTATGAGTTGTATGTCATTTTTCCAATACAATTGGTATTCACCTCAACCCGGGTTGAGTTAAAATGTGAGCCCGTTTAGTTCGCTGATTCGAGTTTTTAATTCGAGTTGAGATGTGATTTTATGTGAGAGCTTTTTACTGTAGCAAAAAAGTTAGATGTGATTGTTTGTGAGAGCTTTTTACTGTAGTAAAACTTGAATTCTAAACTCGAATCAGCGAAATGAACGAGATGTTTCATTTATTTCACCAATTCGAATTTAAAATTTGAGTTTTGTTACAGTAAAAAATTCTCAGAAACAGTCACATTTAACTTTTTTACTACAGTAAAAAACTCTAACATAAAGTCACATCTCAACTCGAATCAACAAACTAAATGAGCATTTTATGCAAGCTTTTTACTGTAGCAAAAAAGTTACATGTGACTGTTTCTGAGAGTTTTTTATTGTAACAAAACTCGAATTTCAAACTCGAATCGGTAAAATAAATAGGACCTGAAACATCTGGACTCACTCTAGTCAACATTATTCTAGTTAATATGAGTCTCTTTTCTTTTTGTTTTTGTTCTTGTTTTGTTTTGTTTTTCAGATGGGTACTTAAGTGATAAGAACATTTTGTGGTGGTTATTGACTTGCGCCACAAAAGATTAATGACGTCAAATTCACATAAGAAGGCCGAAATGAAGAGCTTTCTTTTTTCAAAAATAGTAAGAAATAGGTCAATATGAAAAGTTTAAGAAAGTATATAGGTCAATTTTTAGTTATAGAAATTAATAGGTCATAACTTGTCAAGTTATGGTTCATAACTAGATAAGTTATGGATAATAATTTGTCAAGTTATGGTTATTAATAAGACAAGTTATGAACGAAAATAGTAATTTGACCTATTTATTAACTTATGTAAACTATTAATCTATTAATTTTAATTTATCTCAAATCTTGACCTATTTTCCTCTTTCTCCCTTCTTTTTTCGTTTGTCTGAAGCCTATATCAAGGGCTTGATCTGTATTCATGTGTGATTTGAAGTGTTTTTTTCTTTTAAGAAAAAAAATAGTAATATTTGATATTTTTAGGAAACGTAAAGTAAACAATTCAAATTCCAAATTGTTAGAAATATAGACTAGGTGCTATAGACCAGTGCTGGTGACATAGAAATGTATGATATGAACATTGGGTCCGTTTAGTTTGCTGATTTGAGTTGAGACGTGACTTTATGTTATAATTTTTTATTGTAGTAAAAAAATTAGATGTGATTATTTTTTTAAACTTTTTACTATATAGTAAAACTCGAATATGTGAAATGAATAGACTATTGTTTACTTACCCTTTTGTACAGCTCAGCATACCAGGTGTAGTCATGGGGTTTTCTTTGCTCCACTAACGTGTTCTATAATTCTGTGGCCATTGGCCTAGTTATTGTATATATATTCATCTTATACTGATTGAATTGATGAGGGAAAACAATATTCATTTATCAGACTTTTCTTTTTTGTTGTTTTTTCACTCAAATTATCATTATTATTATTATTTTTTAGTTTTTTACAACCAGTGCTTACAATTTCCACTAGACAAATACAGTAATTATACATATAAATTAAGCTGCATCCATAACTTATGTTAAGGACGCAACAAACAATCATCCTTAAATTTTAAAACAGTGTTCCTTAATTTATCGCAAAATACAAAAGCCTATGAAATAATAAAAGCTCAGAAAACTGGAAACATTTTGGCCTATGAGATTCTTTTGTCGTCTCGATAGGACTGTAATTAATTTTTTGAGGGTAGAAAATCTCAGCAAAGATTGTAATAATAAATAATTAGAGTCAAAACCATAGAGCAAAAAACACACGGATTTTTACGTCTAGAGAAACCTTTGACCAGATCAGCTGTATAAGGTATACTAATAATAATTGGCTATCGTCATGTAATGGAGCGATCATTTGGTGCAGAAGCCCTCATGCCTTCTCATGGACCCGCCACTTAAAATCTGCCACATCACAAATGTCAAGATAAACAATTATAGAAAATGCTATATTTTGTTACACGTCAGGACGGAGACAAAATCTAGGGTACCACTTGGCCGGACCCATTGGGTGGAAACAACATGGGCCTCACATCCTGACCCAGTTGGACGGGATGTTTAGCGGTGTCCTACATTACTTTTAGGTATTGAAAAAGGATGATTATTGGTGTTAGCGTCCTCATTCTCTTCATCTTTGAGAAATCCCGACGCCCTGACGTGTTAGAATTCATTTTAAAATAATTTTATTTTTTATATAAAAATAAAAATAAAAACGTTTTTAATTTTAGACAGAAATTATTTTTAAAAATGTGTTTGATAGTTTTATTAATAGATTGTTTTTAATATAAAAAAATTGATTAATGTCTCTCTCTCTCTGTTCGAGAGAGGAAAAAACGAAAATAAAAAATGACTAAAAGTCGTTTTTCATTTATCTCTTATTTTACACTTAACTAAAAAATCATTTTCATTTACATTTTTTGTCTTTATTGCGCCAAACGTCGCTTTGAAAACATTTTCATTTTTTTCTTGAAAAACGTAAAATATAAAAACATGATCAATTACAAACACAGCCAATAAGTTCAATATTCATTCCTACTACCACTGCACAACTCACTAACTAGACTAGATGGGGTATCAACGATCAAATTAAGGGTGCAACTATATTCTAGATGGAAGAATAAGGAAAAACATAATTACCATTGCACTACCTCATTTTAGGGTTTTTTTTTGTTTTGTTTTGTTTTGTTTAGTGTTCGTGATCGAGTGAAAACTCTAATATCAATGTTTAGTGTTCGTGATTGAGGGAAAACCCAAATATCAATGTTCTCTACTCTTTGCCTCCCTGCACTACATATAGAAGACACTTCAATACTCAAGTCAAAATACAGTATAATCTTGTAAAAGAGTAAAGAAGAAAAAATATGAGATCAATTATTCCTCTTTATAGGAAAGAATCCAATCATAAGGTGGATACATTCTAATTGATATAAATCATCAGTTACTTAGGTTTTGGAATATTAAAAATTTTCCTTAACTAAAGAAATTTTCTAATATTTCTTTTAGAAAACCAACTCATGTAATGTTTTTATTATGTGCCTCGAGTTATAATTAATCATGATCTTGTGAGACATTCGATATCGCTTTTCAATACATCTATTGAAGAGTTTGAGGTTAACCATGCAGATGAGTTTCAACTAAATTGATCTCGATCTATCGATGTTAGAGTTCTCCGATTATTTTGAGGTTCGGTCACGAAGGATCGTTTTTCCTAGCATCGGGCCGGGGACAAGTGTCGCGTGCTCGATCCCCTTGGAAAAATCCCTCAACATTGTGGAATCACTCGTAGCCAGCCACCTTTTTACTTGCATTTTTGCTCAGCTTAACAGCATGGACTCGTCAGCAGCTGATCAGAACTCGACCCACACGCTCGTAGCCAGCCACCTTTTTATTTGCAAATTGCGTTTTACAATTTTCTCTCTATTCTCTCTCCACTCCTCCCTCTCTCTTTAAAACTCTCAAAATCCTCTCTCTCTCTCTTCCTCTTTGTATAGTGAAGACAAGCTCTTTTAGTTCGCCATGGCTGGGAGAAAAAGGAGGAAAATGAAACTGTGAGCTTTTTCTTAATCTTTTCTGTGTTTTCTTGAGGTCAAAATGTTATTGTGATTGTGTATCTCATATGTTCTTTTCAGTAGATTTACTTGATTGTAGATTGGGGTTTGAATTCTGGGTTTTAGGGATTGGGTTAATCAGGAATCTTAATGCAAAGCAAATGTGTTTTCTTTAGCGAGTACTGAGCTTTAATTTTGAGAAAGGGAAAGTCAATTCCGAAAATTTCGACGGGGTTTCAATTTCCATCTGTAGTTTGAGAATTGCTTCTAGGGTTTTCTAAATTTGGTAGATTTTGAGATTGAAAATGAAATTACATGCGTGCTTTTGTGTAAAGTAGTTTAAATCTTTGAGAATTGTAGTAAAGGTTGAGAATTTGGTGTGAAGGTTGAATTTGTAGTAATTGCCTTTTTTTTTTTTTTTATTCATTTCTGTTGCATAGTGATTTTAATATTTCAGTTTCAGTAAGTAGATCCAATATGTTGTAATCATTTTAGTGAAAGTTAATATAGGATGAGAAATGGTGTCGCTTAATTCAAGTTTACTTTTTTGTTTGGAAGAAAATTGGATTTGATTTTGATTAATAGTAAAAGGAAGATCATATGCATGAAAATTGGTTGGAATGGTTGCAAGCTCTGATTTATTCCGCATGCTTTTGGTAAATTGTTAGTCCTTGAAGAAATTTTCCGCTGTGGCTGCTCGATCTTAGAACTTACATGGGTTTTATGATGCATTAGGTTAGATGAAACAATCACAGAAAATAAGAGAAAGGGAAGCAAGGAGAAGAATGAGACATTGGAACTAGAAACTTGGTCTGATCTGCCTACAGAGCTTTTGGAGCTCATTTTTTCCCAATTGACGTTAGACGACAATGTTCGAGCGTCTATGGTGTGCAAGAGATGGAACTCAGCTGCCATTTCTGTCAGGGTGGTCAACAAATCGCCTTGGCTTATGTACTTTCCAAAATTTGGTAACTTATATGAATTTTATGACCCATCGCAGCGCAAGACTCATTCGCTTGAACTACCTGAGTTGAATGGATCCAGGGTTTGTTACACTAAAGACGGTTGGCTGTTACTATACCGGCCGAAATCGCACCGTGTCTTCTTCTTTAACCCTTTTACTCGTAAGGTGATAAAACTACCGAAATTTGAGTTGACTTATCAGATAGTTGCATTCTCTTGCGCTCCAACATCCTCCGACTGCATACTTTTCACAGTTAAGCACATCAGCCCAACAATTGTTGCTATCAGTACCTGTCATGCTGGGGCAACGAAGTGGGTTACCGTTAACTATCAGAATCGCTTGCCATTTGTCAGTAGCATTTGGAACAAGCTAGTTTTCTGCAATGGACTCTTTTATTGTCTAAGTCTTACTGGCTGGCTTGGGGTATTTGACCCACTGGAACGTACTTGGAATGTTCTTTCTGTTCCGCCGCCCAAATGCCCTGAGAACTTTTTCGCCAAAAACTGGTGGAAGGGAAAGTTTATGGCTGAGCACGATGGAGACTTGTTAGTTATTAACACATGTTCGAGTGAAAACCCTATTGTTTTTAAGCTCGATCAGGAAAAAATGGTTTGGGAAGAGATGCAGAGTCTTGAAGGTGTGACACTTTTCGTGAGTTTCTTATCCTCCCATTCAAGAACCGATCTCCTTGGAATACAGAGAAATAGTGTCTACTTCTCTAAAGTTCGTTTCTACGGAAGGCGTTGCATATTATACTCTCTCAACGACAGTAGATACTACCCTCGTAAGCAGTGTTATGACTGGGGAGAGCAAAACCCGTTTGAGAATATTTGGATTGAACCACCTAAAGACTTCTCATCATTCAGCTGAACAATGCTTAGCAACACAAGTATGTTTGAGTTGATGATTCATGACTTTGATAATTTCCTTTTCTCTATTTTCATCGTCCATTACCCTGTTCTAATTATGCTCAAAACTGTAGACTGAGTTTCTTAACCCTTGATATCATTTGTGTATTACTGTTTTAAGTTTTGGTTGATTAGTTTCTCTTCTGATTATCCAAATTTCTTTGTCTAGACGCAGCAATTATTCGAATACTGAAAACGATGCTGGACCGGACCATGCAAGGTACATGAACAGAGTCTATGCACACGAGGTAGTTCTTCAGATGTCAAAGAGTAAAATATTTGCACCTTGGAAGAAATAAAGGATGGACAAATCCCTGATTGCAATGGCCAATGGGACCCCTTATTCCCTATTGGAGTTTCTATATTGTCCAGATTAGTAGAAGAAATTTCATCATGCTTTAAGCAGATTTTCTAGGCTTATACTGGAATGTATCCATATGTTTTAGAATGGCTAATGGATCATGTGTTCTCTACATATATTTCTTCTCCTAAGTTAAATGTTTTTGGAATGGCTTTTTACATTGTTGCGTCATTCACTAATTTTGAGGTTTGTATTTTTTTTTTTTTTTTTTTTAAGTGGAGTACTTATAGAAAGAGATGCATATGGCAACTTAATATGGGATTGTTTAGCAATTTTGCATGTGGGAGGTATTTTGATGATTTTCATTTTTTATTTGAAGATATCTTTTGATGATTTACAAAACTGGCCCAGTTTAACTGAGAACGTGGCAATTTTGTTTGTTCAGGTGCAATATACATATATTTTTGGAATATAATATTACCTGGTAAATATAGGGTTTATCAGAGAGAATGAATTACCTGTTTAGTTGACGAGTAGGTGTGTCACTTATAGCTGCTTATCTCGGTATGTAATTTTGTTAATTTAACATCTAGTTGTGATAATTCTGTTTGATTTTTGTGTATTTTGTTAATTTAACATCTAGGTGTGATAATTCTCTTTGATTTTGTGTAATTAATGGGTTTAATTGGCGCATAATTAACTAGTGGGCAGTGGAGTGGATTGGATTGGATCCTTTTAATTTTGTGCGTTTCACCCCATCAGGAAATCCATAAAACCATGCACAGCTGCATCTATCAATAAAAAATGAACTCACATCTCACGGTAATAATAGTTTAATGCAAATACATAATGTGGTTCTAGCCATTTGTCTTTGCTAATATCCTTGTTGGATTTCGCTTAAACTACATTGGCTTTAAATGTTAAAAGAGATTATAAGACGGGAAACTTCTCTCCACTTGAATTCACATTTCACCATAACTGCTTAAATATGGGTGATGATGGCTGCGTCCTTGGTGCTATCGCTTCTGCGCCGTCCACACTCAAGCTGCCCTCCAAACTTTGGAGGGTTCATAACTTGTAAAGACGGAAAGTTGTCTCCACTTTTAACTCACATTTCGCCATGACTGCTTAATATGGGTGATACCTGTTGCGCCCTCGGTTGCTATCACTTCCATGCCTTCCACCACTTGAGCTCCCACCAGGGCCAGTTCTACTGCCTCGGGACTGTGGTGGGGGGATATGTGGTTGCAAACTTGGTTGTTGTCTGTTGTAAAAATGGGTGCAAAAACAACTTTGGTCAAGAGACCAGAAACCAAGTTTCATTGTAGAAGAAAGTAACGTTTCTCTGTATTATTTTAATGGGGATAAACAAAATGAGGCAGAGGTCAACTTTAGCAGCAAGACCGAAAAAATGATACTTACAGGACATAACCAACTCTTCCATCTGGCAAAAGCATTGGCATCATTGCCATACCAGCAGGGGTCGGTCCCCTACCATAGATCAGTGGCTGCATGATTTTCAACACAACATCAAGCAAAAACCATGCAAAAGTTTGATTTTCTTATTGTGGGAAAAGGGCACCTTACTTGTACTTGTCCAAAACCTGCACCACCAAATCCTGCACCTACAGCACCATGTGCACCTCCAATCATACCGAAACCAAGATAAGGCGGGTAGGTCGGAAGCAGGGCTGAATTATGTGAATTTTCGACCCCAAAAGACTTCTGATCTACCTGTGGCTTTGCAAGAGAACAATCCAGAACTTGTCCTACAAAGATCAACAAAGATCCAATCCAAAAGAGTCAAAAAATAAAAAATTATCATTGAGGAAGGTTGACGGAAAGAAGAGCATAAAGGGAGTTACCATCGATTTCATATTTCTCGGTGTTCTTCAACGCCTTCATGGCACTTGATCTTTCTTCAAAATGCACAAAGCCAAATCTACTATTTTCATGACCTAGTTTTGCAGGTGGGAGAACAACTTTTGCAATTTTCCCGTGGTGCTCAAATAATCTTCTAAGACGATCCTGGGTGATATCTTTTGGTAAATTCTTTACGTAGACTGCCTTAACCTGACCAAGCAAACACAGATGCCAATCAAAATCACTACTAGCAGTATACGCTGCAATTCCAAGCTAGAGTTACAGGGTGGTGTAGATTGTGTGTTGGATCACTAATGGCACAAAAATTAACAAGTTAATACAATCTAATTACTATCAAAAAGCCTCAATCTCTAACTAACTTATCTTATTAATATTTTTTTTAGAATTCCAACAGGCAGCAGGTATCACCAATCAGGTAACCATGTAACGACTGAATACTACACACCATATCAACAGACGTGACATGGCAGCATCCAATAAATGTGGGAAAACATTTCAGAAAAAGTGTTATAAGCAGAAAGGTACGGAAGAAAAAGTCAAGATAAAACTAGAGACGGATAACCTGAGAAGTAGACGAGGATTCTGCATTTCTAGGGTCAGCCCAGCTCACAGTTGGAGCATTACTCTCAAGCCTAAAATTTGGGTTAGACATCTTTTGTCTCGCATATTCTGCACATGCACTATTATAATACGCAACAAAAGCAAATCCCCGATTCTGGCTCGAGTTGTGCGCATGTGGAACCTGCTATCATAGTAAATAAGATGGAAACATCTCAAGTTGATTATGTAACAACAAGGATCATCATGAATATCCATGATGGATAATTAGTAAAACAATAATAAACCTTCAATAGTTCCACAGAAACGACTCCTGGTCCAACATCCATCAAAGCCTTCTTCATATCTTCCTCGTCCCAATTCCTGGGAACATTACCAATGAACAATCGATGCTTGGCTTGAGATGTTGAACACTTTATCTTTCTTCCCTGAACAATCGATGCTTGTCAATAATAAAAATGCTACAAGAAACACGAAGTAAACTCATACTATAGCAGTTTTAAAGACAATTTGAAAGAACACTTGAACTAAATTCAGGAATAAATCTTGATAGAAAAAGCACTAGTCAATGCATGCCAAATCATCACCAACATGACTTCCATGGACAAAATAAACTGACTACAACTGCATAAAAGGGAATGCATCAACCAAAACGTGCTTAATCACCTTTAGTTCAGAATTATTCAGTTCCCTGATGGCCCTAGATGCCAATTCCTTATTTCTGAAGGTTACAAAAGCATAACCCTTTGCCTCACCTGAATCTTTACCCTTCATTATCCTAACCTGTTGTCAGCATAAAAAGTCTGATCAGCCTCAATAAAAACAAGCAGAAAAGAACACTTATGTAATATACATTACCTCAGTGACTTCACCAATAGATTCACAAAATGCCCTCAAATCATCTTCAGAAGCATCACGAGGAATGCCACCAAGGTACACTTCTGATCCATGAGGGGGAAGTGCAAGAAGCTCAGCGTGCTGCTTTTTCTCATCTTCTGGCACACCTTCGGCAACTTTTATACTTGCATCAGTAGCCCCCTCGTTTTCTTCCTCTTCCTCGATCTCCTCTTCAACTTCTTCCTCTTCCTCTTCCTCTTCTTCAACCTCTTCCACCTCCTCTTCCTCTATTTCTTCATACTCCACTTCTTCCTCCTCTATTGTCTCTTCAGGATCATCATCTCCATCAAGGTCCACATGCTCTTTTGATTCTGTAGATTCTCCTGCTTCAGTTGGATTTTCAGTTGCTTGAGCGCCGGCCTTTGTCCTTGGCATCTTTTGTATCTAAATAAAAGCAAGCTTGCAGAGCAACTGTGAAGGAAGCACAGGAGCCAGAAGCATTCAAAGAAGAAAGAATACAGATATGGAAAGGCGGAAAAAATATGAGAGGCCATACGGAAGAAGTTGCAGAGTAAGAATCTCGACTGAATTTGCGCCATGAGATATGGCCTTAAAAGGAGTTACAAAGAGAATGATTTTCAATTAAAGGAACACCATATAGTACCCACAATTTAGAGACAGGCAAAGAGAGAACTCTGAATGAAACATCAAGAGAATGGAGATGATTATGGTGTTCAAAAGGTGACCAAAAAAAGAATGAAGCAATTGTCTCTCGAAATCTAGATATCAATAGTGCCGGAAAAAAAGGGACAATTTTAGCAAAATCTATTAGGACAATGCACCACAAAAGGAAAAGAGGAGTAGGGGAAGGAAAAAAAAAACAGGAATAACAAATTAAACAATATATGAACATTAGTAAAAGACAATCGGCCTAATGAAAGATAATTCAAGGCAACAGAAAATTACAGATCATAAAAAGAAAGAAAGAAAAAAAAAAACCCCCACTTAATATTTTTATAATTGATTTAAATTCGTTTAAATAATTAAAAAAAAACCCACTTAATCAGTTTAAATAAATTGATTTAAATTCGAGAGATAACAACAGTTTTTATAATTGGACCAGATTATGACTGAAAACTATTTTTCTACTTCGTATTAAGACCAAGTCCAGCTTAAATATTCTTTTTGTTCTATCCTTTTCTGGGTTTAATACAGCTTATTTCTAAGTTGACTAGACTTTGGCGTACACAACCTGTACGAAAATTTCCACGAAATGCAGCAAGCAATACTATAATAAGCTACATAGTTGGCAAAAAAAAAAAAAAAAAAAGTCTCAAAACATTTTTTACAGAGTTAAAAAAGAAAAAAACAAAGGCAAAACTTTGGATTGATTTTTGAGGTCCCAACAGATTTCCTTTCTTATTCGCAATAAAATTACACTGTTGTAAGCTAACCAAACGCATTTAACACAAGTTTTTCTCCTTCAAATATTCAGTATGTGGAAATAAGAAGACCAAATTTGTCAAAAGAAAAAATGCAAAAAGACTAGAACGAAAAAGGACTAAAATGAAAAGAAAAAGGCGAATGTGGATTCCGAAATAAATCATAGAATAGAAAAGGAATTACCTTAGTGTTGCAGAGTTCCGAAGAAATTAACGGAAAATCTTCTTGAACTAAAGTGGAGAACCAGTTCCAGTTCGTCCAACCTAAAAACCCTAACTTTTTTTTTTTTGCAGGTCGGACCCACAGAACGAGAGGAAGACAAGAACGACGCCGGATAGGAACGCGAAAGTGGGCCTTAGCCCAGTCTCTTTAAAATAGGGACCAGGCCCGCTTGGCATTACTTTCAGGTTCTAAGAGAAAAATCCCTATTTGACTAAGAAAATATTAATAAAAAGGAAGGAGTAAAAATCTAGGTCCGTTTAGTTAGTTAATTTGAGTTTTTAATTAGGAGAAGGAAGAAAATATGTCAAAATTTGAGATGAATTAAAATTAATAGGTCAATAGTTTACATAAGTTAACAAATAGGTAAAATTAAGATACATTCAGATTTATCTATACATAAATTCCAAAACTGCATTTTTCACTCAAAAAACCCTAACACCTTTCTCTCTCAGTTCTCTCTCGCACCGACCTCCGCTCTCTCTTTCTCTCTCTTCTCTCCGGTGCTCTCCGGTGAATGTTTCTTCCCTCCGCCGCTGTAACACCATGAAGAATTAATTGAGATTAATTAAGATAATTGAGACTATTAGTGTGCCTAATCTGGATTATTAATTGAGTTTAATTAATAAATGTTTCTGACACGAGTGAGTTTAAATAGTTCCAAGGTATTTAAATTATTCTCAGTAATTTATTTTAAACCAGAAGTGTGTATGTGCACATTTCTGGACTGTTGTTTTAAAATATTGTACACATGTCCTTTTCTTTCCTTTTTCTTTTCTTTTCTTTTTCCTTTTTCCTTTCCTTTTTCCTTCCTTTCTCGTGCGTCTCTCTCCCTCACTCTCTCTCTCACTCTCCCGTGCTCTCTTTCTCTCCCATTTTGTCCCAAATCAAACGGATCTTGAACCAAGAAAAGATTTAAAGAAGTTTTCAACGTCAAGAGAAAGATTTGAGGTAAGATTACTAAAAGAACCTCTCTTGAATTTCAAGTTTTTGAATTTCAAAACTTATTTTTGGTTCAAACCGGATTTTGATGGTTTTTGAGTAAAACTATAATAGAAATTGGAGATCTTGAGTTTTTTGGACTTGTTTTAGGACCTAGAACCCAGATCTAGTGGTTTCCCTTTGAAATATCTCAATTTGGGACTGGATTTGCAGGTTTTGGACTGATTTCCGTGAGCTTCTCTCGCGCAGCTGATTCCACCGGTCGACCTGTACGGTTGACCGGATCACATGGAAACCGGTCGACCTATGCAGTCGACCGGATTACAGGCTGACCGGTCGACCGGTGTGCACGCTGCCGATTGACCGGTAGTGTTGCACTGCTCTGTCACCGGTCGACCGGTTGACACGGGGTTTGACCCTGTTTGGCCTGAAATTGCTGTTTTGACCCTTGTTTTCGGGGAGAACCCAAATTAACTTCATTTGGGGACTTGAGATAGATGGATTAGCATTGTTAATCCTTGATTTGTGATTGAAAACCCTTGGAATGATAATTTGAAACATGAAAATGGATTAGGGCACACTAATAAGAAATCTTGGTTGACAATTGAGATTTGGGTTGCTTTAGGAATGAGAATTAATCCTAAAGTGTCGTCTTGCATCAGTAATCGCTGAGGATTCAGACTGAAGGGGCTTGAGGAAGCGGAAGCCGGAAAGGGCAACGCTAGTCCTAGGTTTGATAGTGCGAGGTAGGATTTCTATCATTTTTCCTTGTGAGCCTGTTTTCAAAAAGGATTTTGGCCTTGAAAAATGTTTTAAAGAAATGGATTGATTTGTGAAAGAAAACACTTTGAAAACTATGGCTTGTTTAGTCATGGAACCTTATGGCTTGTCCAGTCATGGGGCCCGTGGCTTGAGTAGTTCGTGGGATCGTATTAACGTTTTCAAAATGTTAATGAATGATTTCTTAAGTAAAGAGATCTTGTGAACTGGTAATAGAGTCTATTGCTGTAAGCTTAGATAGGATGCGAAGAGTGCATCATCGGGGGCAGAACCCGAAACTCGGTCTGGGTAGGCGAGGCATTTGGTTAGGTAAGTAATTTGTACTAATTACTTGCTGAAGCCTGTAAAACGGTTATTTTCAGTTATACTTCCTTTGAGAAAAAGGATGTGAGGTTCCGGCTGTCTGTTGGAACTGAATGTCTTATTTTCTTTACTTATTCATTCATTTATTTACTTGCTCATTTATTTATTCATTTACTTTAAGTCATTTAAAATAATATCCTACTGGGCCTTTCACTCATGTTTTATGTTTTAAATGTATTAAACCCCTCCCAGGAGACTCCAGGAGCGGTGCACAGTAGCTGGATATTTGCTACGGAGCAGCTGAGTTGTGCTGCTGTTGGAATCAAGTGAGGATTGTGGTCATCCTCTTGGACAAATGTAAGGAATTTGAGAAATTCTGTAAACTTATGTAATATTTGGATTAACTAGACTGTGGTTGATGTCTGTTATAATGATTATTTACATGAGCATGTATGTACGATATTGTATGTCTTGTGGGGTGGAGCCTTGTGTGTCAGAGGCTCCAGGATTCTGTAGTAATTTATTAATATTTTAATGCAGTTAAATGTGGGGCCCGGTTGGGAATTTGCTTTATTAATCCCTAATCGAGCTCCACGTCACCCACCCCGCTTGGGGGGCGTGACAGCCGCTCTCCCACAATCACTCTCTCTTCTCTCTAGCGATCTCCGGCGAACTGTTTCTTCCCTCCGCCGCTCTCCTACGATTACTCTCTCTTCCATCTGGCCATATAACGCGACCTGTCTCTATTCCGCGATCTGTCTCTATTCCCTCTGAATCTTTCTCTCTCTCATCCCTTCACCAGTCCCAGAAACTGAAGAACAGGGAAGGTCCGCCACCGATTCTCTCTCTTAGGTCCGCCAGTGTCGTTAGACGAGAAATCGAAGAACAGGGAAGGTAACATAAGAACAAGGTAAATCCGTTACCACGAATTCATTTGAGTATGTTAATATTGATTTTCTTGAATTAAAATTTTGAATGAAAAGATTATGTAATTGGAAACCTATCGTATAGTAAGCATGCTGAATAAATTTAAGGCTTCAAAAATCAAGTTATGGTCAGGTTTTGATCATAACATGTCGAGTTATGTCATCTTTTGAATTTGAAAATTACAAGTGCAGGTCAGATTATTCAAATTGTCGAAAATAAATCACTGTCAAGTTATGATTTTTTTGAGAGAAATAAATGACGATGAAGTTCAAAGTGAAATGCCACCAGCAGCATCAAGAAAACTGGACAAGATGGAAATTGATCTAACTAATCTGCTTAACAAAGTACAACATTTTGAAGCCAATCATGCAGCCATGAAAGAGGATCTGAAAGAAATAAAGGCAATGGTTGTGAATTCTGTGGACATTATGAGAACCATTCAAAAAGACGTGCTTTTGTTTCTCAAACAAATACAAAACAATCCACTCACAGACTCTAAGGTAATGAAACAACACAAAATAATGTTGATTTTATTTTTGCAATGTTTCCTTAATGATATACTAATTTGTACCTCAATGAACAGGAAGACAGAGAAAAAGAATTATCTGCAGAGCTAGGAGAACATGAGGGAGAATTCGGTTATACTCCACTTACAGACTCGTTTGATATCAGTCAACAAACATTGGACAGAACATTTGAAGAAGCTGAAAAGAAAATAGCAATGAGAAAAGCTGCTGCTGCTGAAGGAATCAAAAAGGTATGAATCTTCTTAATACTACTTGGGAAAAAGGAAAAAAAAAAAAAACAAACCAACATTAATACTAATAAAAAACCTTATTATTGCAGGAACAAGATTATGAAGAAACAAAAAATGAGGAAGAAGAAAAATCAATGAAGAGAAACAAAAGAAAAAGTACAAAGGAATAGAGGGAAAAAATGGAAGAGCTTGGCATTCCTTCATTCATCCTCTTCACCCAAAGTTCTAACGACCCAGACTCGTAAAAATGGGATGATATTAGAATATAACCTTTTGGATGATATGACTACTGTTTCTAAAGACTAGTCTTATATTTTAAATGATGACTTGAGATTTACACTAATTCTTACAATCTTTTGAATGTTAATATTCATTGACAAGACTTTTAGATTATGTTTGAGATTATTCCTTGAATAAAACAGAATGTAAACCCATGATTTATCAATTACATGCTGTTGAATCTGAAAATTACAAGTGCAGCTGCACTATCAAGTTATGGTCGGGTAATGATGATCGAATTATGATCATAACCTTTTGACTTGTTCAGGTTATGACAAGTTTATGCTAATCACATGCCAAGTTATGCTGCATAACTGGACAAGTTATGTAAAAACATGTCAAATTTGCACCATAACCCGTCAAATTATGATACATATCCGGACGATTTATGAAAAAATTTATATAAAAACATGTCAAATTTGACAAGTTATGCTGCATAACTGGACAAGTTATGCTGCATAACCAGACAAGTTATGATACATAACCAGACAAGTTATGTTGCATAACTGGACAAGTTATGTAAAAACATGTCAAATTTGCACCATAACCCGTCAAATTATGATACATATCTGGACGAGTTATGAAAAAATTTTCAATAATGGACCATAAACAGTCAACTTATGGTGTATAACCGTACAAGTTGTGGACAAAAACTCTGAATTAGGTCAATAACTTGTCATAACTAGACAAGTTATGGACGAGAATTACATGTAAAAATACGCAAAATAACTTGAAACTTATTTACTAATTAAAATTAAAAACCAATATAATCAGTACCAAAACTAGAAATAAAATACGAATATGAAAACCAACAAGTTAATCCATATAATCATCCAAGTCGCACTTAATGGCATCTGTTGGCGTCATAAAATTCATTTTTGGGGCATTTGGAACCCTGTTATCATCACTTTCATATCCCAATTGCTGCTTCCGCAAGGCATGCTTAAACAACTCAACTGCCATCTTCTTGCGGAATAATGTTCCAGCCCATTCTTTTCTCAAACAATCATCAGATCCGGCTTCCATTAATATCTCAGCCATCTTGAGCATAAAA